TTCCGATATATATCATCTGTAGGCGGCTCGTAAGGCGGCTTTTCTCTTGAAAAATGGATTTGTAGGGGGGGGGGGGATCGTAGGCAAATTTTTTGTAGATCGCTTTTAGGCGGATCGTGGAGCATTTTTCCCCAAAACTTAGTTGTAGGCGGCACATAGGGCCTAAGAAAACAATATTCATTTTCGTTGCCATTTTTTTCCGGGATCTAGGGAATCTCGAGTGTAGAGTTCTTGTAGAGTAAACAATATCCATTTTCGTTGCCAATTTTTTTCGGGACCTAGGGAATCTCGAGTGTAGTTTTGTAGAGTACATCGTAGTGTTGAATTTCGACTGCTTTTGAGGTGACATTCAAAGGAGATTGTCGAAGAAATCAGAAGTTCTCAATCGGGTTCATGTTGCAGAGCTCGCAAAGTCATTGTGACAGGACAACGCAAGAAGAACTTTGATTTCTGGGAAAATGTATTTTGTTTTTATGGTGATTTTCATTGTAATTTGCCAAAATAGGGTAGGGTTTTTGAGAAAGTATTCTTTGTAAAAGGCGTGGAAACGACGGGTCTTTTATTTTTTGAATGAATCTCTATGAAGAGGGGATTTGGATGAGAAGGTATTCGGGAAAAGGTCGATTTTCTTCCTCAAATCTTTTAAGACTGTGTCAGGATTCTCAAATGTTGAATAAACGTAAAGTTCTTTAAACTCCAGGTTCTCTCTTCTCTGAATTTGGGCATCTTAAGTCGTAAATTGTAATAGATGTTCTGTGTTGTTGTTCTATTTTTTTTCCGTTGTGCATAAGACGAGGTCTAGACTCGATAAATACGGAGATGACGTTTGGCGGCGTAGTTTCACAGGTCAGGACTGCAATCATCTTTCAGACCTCCGAAGAAGGCGACCTTGTCGAAACGTTAGGTCAATAAAGATTCCACCGTACCAATCTGGGCTTGCCAGAGCACCTATTACAATTTACGTAAAGTTCTTTGTTTTTGCAGGACTCGCCCTTAAGAGTGGGTTATCATGAATAATTTTCAAAGAAGTATAAAATGTAGAGATATTTGCAGTCATAACGAGGCTAATAATGTATTTACCCCGACCCACTTGCCAGCGACCCATAGGGTCGCTAGTCTGTACTAAATTTCAAAAATTTTTATCCTGATGTTTTCAAAGAGCGCTGATAATTTTCAAGTAAGCAAGCCTTTGGCTACACTGCACTCATTTTAGATTACAAGGGCCATGTTTACTTGCTCGCTATAATTATTTGTTTGGTAAAAACTGCGAGTTTTTGATTACGTTTACCACGTAAAAATACCGAAAAATCTTAGAGCGCTTTTTCAAACCAAATCAAACTTGGTTATGTAGCATAAATAATGTCTGATAAAAATCATATTTTAATTCGGAAAACTTGTAAAAGCTTTCGTGTATTTGCTACAGTTGCGAGTTTCAAGACTTTGAAAAAAATCGAGATTTTTGAAGAAATAATGTTTTTGAAGCTAAAAATAGCAAATTAAGAGAATTTAAAAATATTACCTTGTAGTCCGAGAATCGCTTTATCTGATCTATACTTAGTCCTTTCCGAAACTTTGGAATAAGATTTTAAAAAAAGTAGCCTCACTGTGAGCAGATAAAATTGACGGATGGAGAATTTTGGCAACTATCAAAGAAAGCATGCACGATTGTGGTTCGAAAAAGTATTCTTTAAAAAATAATGAAAAGCTGCATCGAATGCATGTTGAAACTCATTCAAGTCTTCATTGTGCGTGGTCTATAGTGGTATGAAAGGGACAAAACTTTCGGGACAACAGCAGAGGTTCACTGATTTTATTGTAGGCCTTCCTCGTGCTCCCTCAGTGCTAGTCTTAGAACTCACGCAAATCTGACCATTACGAATAAATTACAAACAATTATCTAATTTAAAAGTTTTCCATGTTAAATCTTTAGCTTTGGGAAAAACTTCTGTGCAGCTTTGGGAGAAACTTCTGTGAGGAGAAATAAATGCGGACTTGAAACGATTACTAAGTAAGGCTTAGTAGCCATCTTAAAAGACCATGAACACCTTGAACTACTGTTTGAGCGAAATTCTTCTGTTTGCTATTTGGAACCCTGACCAGCGGCAATAACCCAGTCATCCTACCACTTGCTACATATAATTATCAGCTACAAATCTAGATCAAATATAGCGATTAACTTTTTTTGCAGAGAACGCAACAAAGGAAAAACAGCACTGCTTGAGCTGCTAGATTATTCAAATCATTCGAATAGTCGAATATTCGACTACATGTAATTATTCGATTATTCGAATAGTCGAATGTTCGGTCAACCCCATTTATTCGAAATATTCGTTCATTCGATTTTAAAATGTAGAATTATTCGAATATCCGAATTCGAATAATCTGGAAATCACAGATCGAATAATATTCGTTCGTTCGAATATTTTTCAAAAGCCAATTATTCGAAATTCATTCGTTCGACGAAATTTTTCGGTCGTTTCAACTATAGTTATTATACCAGGGCCAGCAGACCCGCCTTATAAGCTGTCGGTTTGCTTTTGAGATCAATATAACGATCGTTCCGCTAGCAACGGGGGGTGGGGGGGGGGCATGGGTCCCATCTCCTTGGAGTTATAATTTCTGCATTTATAGGCTGTATCAGCCAGCATCGGTCCCGCACCAGTATGACTTGCGACGACGCACTGTCGCATGCCGTGCCTTAACGCGTAGCTGAGTTCGCACGCGTCACATCGCACCGTCGCAAGTTGCCGCAGGCGCGACGTCGCATAACCCATGCTGGCTGGTACAGTCTATAAAGTATCAATGCCTATCAATGCCTACATTTTTATACATATCTTTTTAGTAACCTATCAACATGATCAATGCTAGCCGTTTCATCTTTCTTACATTAGTCTGACTAGGATTAGACTCGGATTGATATGATGATGTTTGCATTCGTTATGTTTCTTGTTCACTCTGCTGTGTTACTAACTTCTCGATGTGTTTTGTCTTTGTTTTGGAACGCCTTGAGCGTACAAATCAAAATGAAAATGAAAATATGTTGGCGAAACACCTGTGCACCTAAGGTTTTTGATCTTCAACAGCTGCAGTTTAGGCCCTTAGTGAAGCTCGGTCAGTTCAGGTGGTCTGAACTGAGGTCAGTTGAGATTTGCAAGGTGAACTTACGAGTCCATTTCCTCGTGTTATAAATGCAACGTGACCTGACAGGCGAGCGTCAGGTCAGGTGATGCGCTGATCTCACCTTGCTTCTGTAAAGCTGCGTTCACACTGTCGAAGTTCGGGAACAGTGCTTGAACTGAGCGCTGTGCTAGAACTGTTTCCATTCGGGGTCAGTATGAACACAGCCTAAGAGCAACGTGTTTTGAGATGATCTTATAGATATAGTGTGCAAGTGATGAAACACAGGGGAAAATCCCGTAAGCCGTAAGTAACATAAGGGACATAATGCTGCGAAGAGTGGCGGCCGAGGGGCAACGCGGGGAAGGTGCCTCCCCAGGGCCCGGCACAGATGGTCTGGGGTTAAACTGGCTTCGTTTTTGAAGTTAAAAGCAACGGGGATATCGTTTTTATAAGGTCCTGGGGAAGCGCCGATAAAAAAATGACGATCATATCAGGCTTTACGAGTTGAACGCGTTCTTTCGTAAGAGCGCGAAGTTCAAACGCAAAACTCAAACAAACAAACAAATGGCTTGTTTACAGCGTACAAACATTCAAATGACACCGAATTTGGGCTATGTGTATACAATAAAACTCCAAACTATATTGAGTAAAAAGTTTCAAAAACTTATATCCGTATATCCGTTCCCGAATTTGTTGGTTTCTAGACCAACACGAAACCAACTGGGTTGATTCGGAGCACAAATATGGAGAGTTCACATAAGTTTTGGCGCTTTTTGATTTCGACGAATAGAGCTAAAAATCTATCATGTAGTGGAGAGAGCGAATTAAACTGCCTCTCCTCTTTTTATTGTGCCAAAAGTAGTGTAAATCTTTGCGTTGATAAATACTGCGCTTCAATCACATGCGATGTCCTTTGAACTATGTGGCGAAAAATGCATCGCCAGATTGTTGAGGTCACAGATTTGGTTGGTCTAGGAGGTCTTCGACATTCTGAGCACTAAAATGGTACCCTACCCAATGACAGAAATTTTGAGCAACTAAAATGTTTTCTTTTTGCTTTTTTGTTATATTAGGTACCTCGAAATGCGTTTTTTCGTTTTGATTTTTATTCTGATTGAATAAGGGTTTCAGAGATTTTGAGAAGCATCTTCAAAAATTTTTCAGGGTGTGTGGCTAACGTCATTCACCTTTATTTCATAAATACTTTTGCCATCCCCCCCCCCCTCCTCGAACGAAATCTGTGGACGCCACTGGCTGCCGACCATGGTGCGCTAAACTGCACAATTCGCGGACAGGGTAGCAAGAGTCAATGAACAGATGTTGCAGCAATCAGAATTTCAAGTTATTTTTTATCTTATCAAGAGCTAGCTGATGAAATCATTTGTTTCAGAATACTCCTCAAAATAAAAATTTTGTTTTTGCACCAGCGCTTCATCTCTGCTTAGCAGAGGCTCGCACCATTTCTTTTATCTGTGTGCCTTCTTCGTGCTCTCATGATGACGGCTTTGTAACCTACCATGCAATGCTGGCTATCTCGAATTAAATAAAACATTTAGCATTCCGTACCAGGGGTTGGCACAGGTGGCCTACCGGGCAAGAGCTGGATAAATGTTTTGAAGGTAAAAAGCAAAGGGGATATCGTTTTGGGGGGGGGGGGGGGGTCCGGGGCGAAGCCCCGGAAAAAAATGCATGTACCAGCTTTGTTTGGTGTATATGAAGAAACGCACTGCCCGCACCCGTGTTAAGAAAAATAAACTTCGTTTTCAGCTATCAATCTGTGTTTCTAAACAAAATGGTTTGCTTCAGTGTTAGAGGAAGTGAACAAGGTGGAAAAATGTGTATTGTGATATAGTCCTACTATATCGAAACACCAAAAAAACTTATTTTTTATTGTTGGGAATTACACCAATGCTGAAAGTCGTATCTTCGGCCTTCTCCACAGCTATCAAATCTTTTCGGAAAGTTTTGATGTCGCTTTTGCTGCGGAGACTAGCTCTGACCGCCTGATCCCCAATTACATAAAAAAGTGTCTCGGCATTGATTTCAGAATTCACCACTGCATCCAGCGCGCTGCTATCGCCCAGTTTCTCTGAAGAGAATCCATTTGGGTCCACAACATTTCAGTGATACATGTATAGTTAGAGTTAGGCAGTAGACCTACTTGCATAAAAAGCGTTTTGTAAAGTAGTCATAGTGTTTGTATAGTCGTCCTCACCCCACTAGTCGGTCGGTGGACGAATTTGAATTCGAACTGGAGCAGACCGGCCGCGGCAGAGCGCCGCAGACCGCCCCTCAGCCAACCGCTTGCACATGGGTTTTCCTCTTATTTTTTTCGCATTTCTTTGCTATCTCTCGTATTGTGGCAATGTTCTTAATCAGATTTCAGATTTCGTCCGCTAACTCTTTGAAACAAACGCTTTTTGAGACAATTTCAGCCCCATCGCAAAAAAATAGTTTAGAGTACATATTCTGACGAAAAACTTGACACAGTTCATCAAATCACATTTGTGTGTATGTCACTTAGCGGTAGAGAGATTTCTCATCCAAAAATCTCCAATCACATCCTTCTTCTCGGTTTACCTGGAAAAAATGTAAAACAAACGGTCACAACTGCACAAAACAATAGTTAGCAGGACGAAGTCCAATAATCTGATTAAGAACATGGTCGCAATACGAGAGATAGCAAAGAAACACGAAGAAAATAAGAGAAAAGCTCATGTGCAAGCGGTTGGCTGAGGGGCGGTCCCGCGGCCGGTCTGCTCCAGTTCGAATTCAAATTCGATTATCGACAGACCAATGGGGTGAGGACGACTATAGAGTACCCCTTTTGAGAGTAAACCAGATTTCAAACCAAGACCAGGCAAGGGTTGTGTCTACTGCTCAGACAATCGACGGCATACATCCGGAGCAAGAATGAGAGGGCGCCGGGGTCTGCCCAGCGGGGGTTTGCCACTCACTCCGGAGACTTCCCATTTCACCCAGCTCCTCCAAATTTGGCGCACCTCCAGAGCAGAGATTTGCGAGCCTCGGAGAAGGGTCATATCCGCCTTCTTGTGACGTCCTCCAAATCTGGTGTGCCAGATTTGGAAGAGCCCCGAAGCACCAAAATGGGTAAAATGGGAGGCCTCCGGAGCACGAGTGGCAAACCCTCGCTGGGCAGGGCCCCGGTACCCTCCCATTTTCGCTCCGGAGATATACCGTCGATTGTCTGAGTGTTAGGTGAGGTCAGGTTCTACTGTCAACAGATTTGGACCGTTTCTTTGTATGCTATAAAATGTCACGGAAATCGATATTGAAAAATATCCTTAGATGGCTTACTGCATCACAGGTTAATGGTTATGTTGAGAGACTGTTTCTTTCGCCTGCTGTGAGTCGATTTGCTGTGAAGAACGTTCGTTCAGTATCAGCATTGTTTCACGGAATAACGAGAACACATTTGAGCACCTATTATGACAACGTGGAGGCAGTAGGAAGAAAATCTAAGGAAAATATTCAAATCTTATCATTTCAACTTCTTCAGTCATATCAAGTTGCTACCGAAACTCTAACAACTTCTTATAGAGCCTTTTAGAAGTTTTGTCATTTCGTAAATCTTTCGGAAATACTTCCATATTTGCCACTTTCGTGTGCAAAGTTGCGTAGAAAGCAAAGATTCTTTCAGTTTAGAAACAACACAGTAGTTCTCCAGCATTTCTATCGAGTCATTGATCAAATTAGCCCGTTTAGATGATCGTATTCGTTATTAACTCCCATGTACGCTGCATATCCTCTGTTGGAGAGGGTTGCACCCGAAGGTACGTAAGTATCCCATTCTGTCCGGAGATTTCCGTTAAAATCAATTACATCCAGAATTGGCGATCGACTGCGACGAACAGGCTGTCAGGCATTACTGTCTCCTCCATTTTGACTGCAAGAGGCAAAGGTATCAGTGTAAAGCGCTTCAGCTTCTTCCTTTACACTCTTTTCAATCAACTCAGATAGAAATTTCATGTAGATAGATCCAAGACCAAAGTTTAGGGTAACGTTTGGATCAAGATCGGTGAAGCGTCTTGCTCTAGTGGAGACTACTGGATTCAAGTATATACGTGAAAGCAAAGTCATCATCACTCGATTTTTCTTCTGACGAAGTGAAGATTTTGAATGATTCAAAGTAAATCTCAAAGCTTTTTCATCGTTTGTAAGACTGCCAAAGTCACTTTCTGCAAAATCCTTGAAGTTTCTAGGAATATAAGCCAGGCGCCATCGTCTCAACGATTGACTATCTTCTAATTTCTCGAAGTAATTCATGAGAAATTGCTCAACCAAGCGTTTCAGTTGCTTTCCGTCATAAATCTTCACTATAGCTTTGTACCCATTAACTCATGATTGACCTTGTTTATCAATGAGCCGTCTATGAAACTTCGACTGGAAGCACGACCAGCTTCCATTGCGTCGAAGGCTAGACTGTCTGTATTTTGGAACAGCAGCGAAAGAGAAATTTTGTCAAGAGCACCCAAGACATACTTCATCATCAGAAGACGCGTCAATCTCGCATAACCCAAAGAGTATATTTGCCCTACTCCGTATACATTCGAAAATTCTCCCATCATCAGACACTTTGCGCAAGCTTTCGATCAACACGTCTGCATGCGGACAACGTTACTAAGGCCCTTTTTAAAACTGTCGGACCACCGTATTGCGATGAATTGACCCATATGCAGGTGTTTGAACGACATCAGACGAGCTGTATCTTTGTAATGCCGTCTAGGGGATGAAGACTTTGGAGATCCAAAAATTGTATGCATTTCCATTATGAGTCTTAGAGCAAGCGTGTAAGCAATGTCATTTGCATTCATCATTGCTAAATTCAACTTACGCGCAGCACACAAGACAAAAGCAAATCCGATCTAACTGGAGAGGAGCTTTGCAACCGTATACGTTGTCGCAGCCTTCCAAAAACACCCTCATTATTTCCAGTCTCGTGCTTGCCCCATCAGTGGTGATGGCTACAAGTCTTTTCATAGCATGTTCATGCGGCGAGATCTCAAGGTCGGGAGATTGTACCCACGAGTTGAGTTCATTGAGATGTGTTGACAGAACATCCGTTATGATTTGACCCGGTTCGCGTCCCAGCTCGGCAATAAGAAAATAGTAAGGTCTAGGCTCGAATGTGGGAATCACTGTGCGGATCAAGTAAGCCATCCACTTTGTCTTTTTCAAGGAGGATCCATAAGATCATTTACTATTAAGTATTTGAACGCAGCTCGTATTCAATATGCAACGCAGAATTTTTTATAATTCTCCTCGCGGTTGTAGCCTCGTAGTAATCTCTGCCAACATTTGCACTCGTTCTTAATGCAGACATCATCAAGGTGGAACTGCGTAGTCAAAGGAAGGCCCTCCTTAACAATGGTGTAGGCTGACAATGTTGCTGTAATGGTAGCATCTATGGCAAGATTTTGGTTTTCAAGCAGCTGAGCTTCGATCGCTGTGTATTACACGTTTACTGCGTCTATGTGCTCTTTTGATTGTAGATGACGTCTGATTGCTCGAGCGATACCTGCATTCCAACCATTGCAGTATTTATCTTCTCGTTTGATGCAGAAATCCTTTCCCAATTCATTGAATTAATTGACTTCACTCTACAGTGCTGGAATCGTGAAGCATCTTCTAACTGCTTGTGATTTCTATTGCAGATTTTGCATCGCATAAACGTTCTGAGATTCGATGCATCCAAAAACACTTGTAACCACGGAAGTTCCCTATATTTTTTCTTTTGCTCCTTAGTGAAAACGACGCCAATATTTTTGAGTAACTCCAGTTTTGCCTCCATTTCCGGGTGTAGATCCATTCCGAGTTTCTTCTGCAGTTGTAGAAGGGAATATTGCTCAGTTGCTTTTCGAAGTCCCTTAGCGACCATACCATTGTGCACTTGTTTCACTCTTGCATGTACAGTGCATATATCCTCTTGTAGTCGCTCTGCTCTTTCCAACATTCTTTCCAAAGTGATTTGCTGCCTGTCTTGTTTACGTCTAAGAGTCTTGCAAAAAGAGTGTGACGGGTAGTGAGCGTGCAGCGGCGTCTTTTGTTGAAGCTATGTCGCCATCACCATCCATAATCACTTCTGAATGCGGCTCATACACTTCATCAATGACATCAATTTTGTCATTTCTTCGGGTGGATTGGCATGTGCAAGTGCTCTCGTATTTGAATTGCGCAGGTCTTGATTAAACTCAACATATATTCGCTATCATTATCGCAGACGTTATCAGCGCCTAGTGTCACAGCATAGTATTCCGAAGGGCATCGATAAATAGGCTGAGCTGCTCGAGGTGCATCCCTATCTGCCGGAAGGATGGTCACCAACACTTCTTTGACATGTGCATTACCAAGCAATTGTTTTAAGCGGGCAATCGGAAGCACTAAGTCTGGAAACATGGAGATGCTTAACACCACAATATCTATGACGAAAGCCACTCCTGTATCTCCTTCGTTATTTGTAAGTCTTCTGGCGCAAAGTGCTTATTCTTGTTGGCGTCAAATTGGACATATCTAAACCCGCGTGAAAAAAACTCCGCTTCTTCCTTCCATTTTTTATAATCCATTTTTAGAAGAATAGTCACTATTTAATAATAGAAGAATAATAATAGAATAATAGAATAATAGAATAGAATAATAGAATTAATAGAATAGAATAACAGAATAATAGAAATAATAGAATAATCAGTATGAAATAATCACTCATCATTATCTTGAACTCCTTATGTGCATTAATGAGCGCATTGACGATGAAATGAGGTACATCGAACTGATGAACTTTATGCCTTCTATCTCGATTCTTTCGATCAAAGAACATATTCGAGCTGGTAGTGACTCCTTCGTTTATAGTTGATGGGTGCCCAAACGCAAGTTTTAATCCTTCTTGGTTCTCTCTGCATGCCTTCTCTTCGTCATCATCATTGTTGAAAATATACAAATTGAAATACATTAAAAGTGAAAATACCATCTATGGTCAACATCCTCTTTGAAAAAATCATCTTGTTTTTTTGTCCTTCTTGGTCATGAGCGTCAAGGAAAAACACACATACCCGTAAGATAGTTGGCGTTATAGAGCAATAGCGTTATAGTAGGCTGACGGTCAGGTAGAACTTCTATAATTGAGCGCTTAACGTGGTTCCTAACCAAGTGAGCTAGCAGCAATTCCTCATTCTCA